CCTTGCGAGTAGCGGAGCCTGGTTCGCAGCTCCGAGATGGTCATCTTCCCGCAATGAGAACATGACCCATCGATGAAGGCCACCTCAGTGTGTTTAATGCCCAGACACATGAGGCAGCGATCGTGACCATCACCCAGCGCCAGGTAACAACCGCATCCAGAAATGCACGGGTGAAACGGCATCTTTAAAAAAGACGATCCGTCGCTTATTGTACTCTTTTAGAGAAATTGGCTCTTTTAGGGAAATGCTCTTTTACGTGCTGAGACGCACAGGGGAAACGGCCGTTTGCAGCACGACAGGGGGTAGTGCAGCCTGAAGTGCACAACCCACTCGACGTAGGAACGACCATTGCTGAAGCGCTGTCCACCAACACAAAAAGCTCCCGAGAGCGCGCTAGACTCATCACACACGAAGCAGTTTGGTAGGAGCAGAACTATGCTGTCGCTCGGCTCCGAAGCGAAAAGCTGGTATGCGTTGCACTGGCTGCCTCGTCAACACAAAAAGCTCCAGAGAGCGCGCTAGACTCGTCACACACGAAGCAGTTTGGTAGGAGCAGAACGATTTTGTCGCTTGGCTCCGAAGTGAAAAGCTGGGTTGCACCGGCTGCCTTTTTATGCTCATGCTGTGATCAGCGGCAGAGTTTCATTTGGCTTCCTGTGCAAAAGGTTCGCGTTTCACATTAATATTGTTCATCACTGAAAAAAAAAACAACAACTTTGAAACAGTTCTCAGAAATTGCTAGTAAACTTTACAAAAATTAGAAAGAATTGACAAATAACACAATTAATTTAACATGAATGTGAATATTTTTATTATCTTCATTGTATTTACAACTCTGAAATGTTTTTTTTAAGTGCATCACATTTGCTATCACTTTTTTCATTTTTTTATATTTCATATTATTTTATATGTTATTTTTATGTTATATTCCCAAATATTACCTAAGTGAGATCCTTATTGACTCTCATGCTAATCAAGTGCATTGGACAGTGGTTTATACAGATTAGTCACTATCTAAAAATATTTAACAGTAAAACAGCACAAATTACCAATTAAAATTGATATCAAAGAATCTGATCTGTTATATTTCTAATAAATAAAAATACATTTTCCCCTTTTGGTAAAAGGGTAGCTTGACTCTACTTGAAATGATGAGTACTTGGCAAACTACAATTTGAAAGTAGCTTCCCAAACACAGCAACTGTGCCAGTCTCACGCAGAGAGTGTACAAATGCTAGGCACTGACCCAGGCCTTTCAAAAGCAGACATCCTAACGCTTGGCACTCATGCGGTCCAGCAGTGGCAACATTATGCAGATTGTCTGTTCTCCAGTACTGCTACAAAGAGAAGACTGTTGCAGTAGATAGAGTGAGCTATTTTCCTTTGTTGATGCTGATGCTGTGAGTTTTTTTATTTTTTTTAATGAGTTAAATTGGGGTAATCGCATGAAAATACATATACAAAATGTATTATTATTGTGTGCCAGATTACTGCAAAATGCATTTTAATTGGCATGCATTAAAAACAACAATGGGGGCATTTAATTCTTCTAGACTAATATTCTCACCTTTTAAGTCTTGTTTGGTAAAAATATGTCAAGCATGCTTCATGTTGTGTTAAAGGAATAGTTCACCTATAAATGAAAATTTACCGAAAATGAACTCTCTCATGCCATCCAAGCTGTAGATAAGTTTGTTTCTTCATCTGAACAGATTTGGAGAAATGTAGCTCTGCAGTGAATGGGTGCCATCAGAATGATCATCTCAATAATCTGCCATGTGCATTCAGTCCATCAGTTAACATCTTGCAAAGCGAAAAGCTGCATGTTTGCAATAAACAAATCTATCAGCAAGCTTTTTTTTTTTACCTGCAAAGAGTCCTCTATTTATAATACTGCTTTCTCCATTGAAAAGAAAAAAATCTTGACTGAATCAGGAGAGAAATATGCACAGATGAAGCACCGTTTACAAGCGAAAACAGGCCAAAACAGGTCTAATTATGTGGGTGGATTTTGATGTGAGAGGAAAACCGGCGATTCAATTTTTCACTGCAGGAAACGTTATTATGAATTATGGACTTGCATAGTTTAAAATGTGTTAATGACAGATTTGTTTCTTACAGACACGCGGCTTTTCACTTCACAAGATGTTATTTGATACTTGTGGAATATTGTGATATTTTTATCAGCAGTTTGGACTCTCATTCTGGCGGCACCCATTCACTGCAAAGGATCCAGTGGTGAGCAAGTGATGTGATGCTATTTCTCCAAATCTGTTCAGATGAAGAAACACACTCATCTATATCTCGGATGGCCTGAGGGTGAATACATTTTTAGCAAATTTGAATGAGATTTTAAGGCTTTTTATAATTAAAAAAAACCCCAACAACAACAGTTTGAACTAGCTTAATGTTAAAGCTCAAATACTGAAGGAAAAGTGCATAATAATTATTTAAGTGTTCATGTAGCAGACACTATTATCTATAGTGTTCTATAGCACTCCAGATAGACACTTTTCAATAGAAGGTCTTTTTGGACTGGGAAGGAGTTGTTTTCACAGTACAATGAACTCTTATCTCAAAAGAGCAAGGCCAATTTGATTTCTCATGATGTTCATTTGAGTAATTTCAAGGAAATGGGATTTAATAAAACCAACACTATTTCACTGTTTAGGAGTGCAGTTTGGTAGGATTTACACATAAATGTTCATTTTGAAACCAGCTCATTTAAAGCCTGGGAAAGGGAGGCAGACACATAGACAGGTTTTGCATTTGAACTTAGCTTTCAGCTCAGAGGAGAATTGCACTGCTTAAATTTATGTTAAGCAACAAAGAAGAACGTTCCTTAATGGAAAATATATATCCACAATATTTTAACCACATCAGGATGTCACTGTTTAGCACTTCAAAGATTTATTTTTTATTTATTTATTTTTTCATTATTACTTTCCAGGTGAACTTTCACAGTGGTTCGCTAAACAAATCACTATCTTAGTGTACAAAGCCTCGGCAAAAATGTCTCCCTTTGGCAGAGTCCTTCATTGTTTTTGCTACGGTCAGAATACCAGTGCGGATCTCAGCGGATTGAGCCACTGTAAATATGTACTAAATAAAGTGCTGCTGCTTGGGTTGAAGGGTTGCAATCAAAGAGCAGAGAGAGAGAGAGAGTTTAAAAAAAAATTGCATTCCTCTGGCTGGCCTAAACCCTCTGTCCGACGGAAGTACTGGGCACTCGCCCTGCTCTCCGCTGTGTGCCAGTGACCCTGTCCTGATCCACAGTGATTACGTCCAAACTGCAGGGCTCAACCTTCCTTAGCCGAAGCCACCGGCACACCCACTACACAGGCTCCCACACTCACTCCCTCATATTTACACAACCGCTAACCCTGGATTAAACAGGAATGACCCTCATATGAAGTACTCAGTTTAACCGGCACATCTTAAAGAGACAGTTCAACCCAAAAAAATGAAAATCTATTTATTCACCCTCATTCCAAGCCTCATTCCTTCTTTTCCTTTCCTTTCCTTTCCTTTCCTTTCCTTTCCTTTCCTCTTCCCTTCCCTTCCCTTCCCTTCTTATTTTATAACATTACTACTGTTCTCTATCACAATCAATATTACTGTTTTTTCAGAAAAAAAAAAAAGTATTTAGTGCTATTTCATGTTATATTCTTAAATATTACCTAACTGAGACTATTATTGATTCCCATCAGTCCTAATCATCAATAAGGCTATTTTATTTTATTTTTATGAATCTTTATGGTGCTTTATTGTCCGTACAAGCTCTATAAATGTGAAATCAGATTTTTTTTCTGGTTTTACAATGTAAACTTGTGTGCCTTTGGATGCAAGTGTGCCTTTGTCAGTGCCAAAATTCCTTCATGTCACTGATTATAAAAAATAATAATAAAAAAATGGTCTATGGTGTGTGGATTGACAGTATCCAAAGCAAACAGTTACCACTGTTTGGCACTGAAATGTGCTGTTAAGTGCCTGCTATGCCAACCTTCATCTACATACAGTCAGGAAAATCAAAATGGAAAACTCCACAGGATTCAAATATACATCACGTTTCTATACATCCCTTGTGCTTGTGTGTCTGTTTAATAAATATTTTATTTATTTTGATTGGTTTCAGCTGCAAAGCTTTTATTGTCAGCTCTGTTTAACACATTTTACCATGTTGTTCTGCAGATTCCTCCCCCAAAATCAAGTTCAATTAGGACTTCGAAGTGCACCAAGTAAGTTGTTGTAAATGTTTTTGCATGTAATTCTGCACATTTCCCACAAAAATCAGGTTCAATCATCGTTGCATTCCATTCTGAAGAGCTCATCCCTGTGCCCTAATCCCTTCGAAGGGATGAAGGGTGTTGGGGACCAAAAATCTACCATGCTGAGGCACAATTAAACCTGCACAAAGCATAATGGGTGTGATGTTTTCATCATTTGTACCCTTCAAAGTCTTTAATTCCGATGGTATCTTTGAAGTGGCCAGTTTTAAAGGGGTAGTTCACCCAAAAATTAAAATGTGCTGTTAATTTACTCACCCTCAGGTCATCCAAGACAGGTGACTTTTTTTTTTCTTGAAGAGTAAAGAAATGTTTTAGGTGAAACTGTATTCTTGGTGATTCATACAATGTAAGTCAGTGGCTGCCCATCTTTGGAAGGAAAAAAAAGTATATCAGGGAACACAAAATTAATACCCGGGGCTCCAGATGATATATTGAGGAGTTATGAAACAAAATGATCGGTCTGTGCAAGAAACTGAGCATTATGTACAACATTACTACCTGTAATCCATAGCCTTGAGCAACAGGGAAAACAGATTATTTTCCATGAACTGGTTCTTTGGACAATTCATTTCAAAGAACTGGTTCATTTCACTAGCTTGTGTACATAATCATGCAGTGATGTAACTTTTACGCAATAACAAGGGCGTAGAATATAGTAGGGACCATTAGGGGCATGTACCTCTCAAATGCTTCAATGCCTGACTTATATTATAACTACGTCCATAAGATTTTTGTGAAACTTGGATTAACTCTTCATATTTAAGGAGAGAACTATTTAGTTTCGAAAGTCGGACATCACTTGTTGTGATTTTCAAGATTGTAGAATTTAGTACACTGTAAAAAAATGACCATGAATTTAAAGGTAAAAGACTGTAAAAATGCTACAGTAAAAACCTGTTAAATGGTTAACAGTAAATTCCCCTACTATATACGGTGAAAAACTGTATTGGACATTACATGTAATTTTACGGTAGTATACCGTATAATTTACAGTGAATAACCGTAAATGACATTCCCAGAATTCCCTGCGTTACATTTCAAATTTGATGGGGTTTTTTTGTTGAAAAAACTGTTTCTTCTTAGTTTTTTCTTATCAGTTTTGTATATTAGGGTTGTATGTTACACCTAATGTTGTTAAATTAATGTTTATTGCATTATTTCAGATAAATAATACATTTTACAGATTTTTTTTTACATTGTAGGGTTGCTATGTCATGTCCCTAAGTTATGTTATCCACCGACTACTAAATTGTCCCTAGCAATAATTTTGATCAATGTCTGTTGTCTGCCATTATGTCCCCACCAAATGCCAAAATCAAACCTATGCCCTTGCACAATAATATCATTAAAGCACCCCAATAATGATGGATGTTTTGCTTTTCTAAATCATATAAAGTGAATAAACTTGTCACATTTTACATGAGAATCCGTAAAAACTTTAATTTTGCCCCTTCAGTCAAGTGCTGGGTTTATGTATGTGCATATCACCGGCTCATCTGTCTTTGGTCCGAGTCAGAATTTTTCCTCAGTTCAGTGACTGTTGGAGGAACTGGATCATATATTCCAGTATTTTTTTTTTATTTAATAGATTGACATAGATGTATGCCATTTATGTACCTGCTGCTACTGCTTTATGTTTTGTCTTTTGTTTAGTATCTGTTCATCTGTGAAAAAGGTCAAAAGTGGTTTAGTCTCCCCACATGCAGAATCACTTGACAAATCCATATCATTCTTGTAATTATGGGTCTCAGTTCCAGGACGGGAAGTGTTTGTTGTTTATTGTTTGGTTTGGTTACCATCAGGTATAGCCTACTTTTCTGATGTGTCTGGAGCCTTAATCTCATATTTGTAATCATATTTGTCAAAAGTGTTATTTAGTTTTTGTGTGTGTGTGTGTGTGTGTGTGTGTGTGTGTGTGTGTGTGTGTGTGTGTGTGTGTGTGGTGTGTGTG